CAGAGTATTTTTTACTTCCTAAAAACTTTTCATATGATTTTTCAAAACACATCTAATTTTAAAGGTATTTTTGTAAGTTGCCCAATGATCAACTCTCAAAAAGCAATTTGTGGATTTTATATTAAGCCCACGTTGGCCCAAGTTCTTTAAAATTTATTCTTTTCTCAAACTTATTTGAAGTCGGGTTAAACCAAACGGAAAGTGCCCTGGCACCCATGAATAACTCTTTGGAGTCATACATTTTTTCAATAAAATAATTTTACATTTGCATCCATATATAGCTTTTTCCTTCTTTTTAACAAGAAACTTCAAAAATATCACTTTTCATAAAATATTATAGAAAAGAAAAGGTCATTATTAATTTTAATGCATCGAATTTCCATTATTATTCAATCAGATTACTTGTACAAATCAAATATTAATATAATTAATTAAGCTAAAAGAAAAAGAAACACGTACACATAATATGAATTAGCATCTCCATGCAGAAGCAGCCAGAATGGTTCTATCCTGCCAACCCAATAGCAAGCAGCCCTTGTCTTCTGTTAACCTATATCCATCGCAAAAATACAATCCCAATAATATTTTCGATTGAGTCACTGCATTTGCACTCAGTGGCATCCCTTCAAATCCCTTTCCTTCCATCAGTTTCCTCCATTTTTCCAGCCTTTCATGTCTCTTTACTCTCTCTGGTCCCTCACATGCCACAATGTTCCAAATCTCCGGTGCGAATATGTGTTGCTCCACTTTCACCCTCTGCACGGAATCTGGTGGGAAGGTTGCATCCAACGAATCGAAGATTGCTGAATAACAGTGCAATGCCTCTAGGAATCGGCCCAAGAAGTAAGGTCCATTGTGGCTTGCTTCTTGTTCAACAATGGTGACTATATTTGGTGCTTGATCCCTGATCAAGGCTATAAGATTTCCAAGAGCATGTCCAGGAACACGATGGAGCCGGTTAACTGAGTTAACTGCCAGAGCTTCACCGACTCTTCTGTTGAACATGTGTGGTTTTAGGTCTTCAAGTTGCTCAACAACGGGATGGAATTCGAATGGAACATGGAGGGATTGAGCTAGTTCGGTCAAACATCTACCAGTCTCTCTAACCGCCTCGGGGAAGGGTCCAACTCCAGTGATACGGAGAAATGGGGCACCACCGGGCCTGGCTGCTTGGGCTTGAATGAAGGCGGGCCATTGGTACCCCTGGAGAATATCGAGATCCATTACATGGACGCGGTCTTCAGCTTCAAATGCTTCAAATATTGCTTGATTTGCAGTAAAATGAGCAAATTTAATGTAGGGACAGGCTTGATAAAGAATCTGATAAATCTTGAGGATTTCTATTGAGTTGGGAGGAAAAGGATTGAAGGGTTTTGGATTGGAGGTGCTAGATTTATTTATGGGGATTGATGCAAGCCTTCCTCTTAAGGCTTCAGTGAAACAAGCTGCTACACGTTGCATGGAGTCACCGAGGGGCGAAACCACTCGATTCAGAAGGTGGAGATACCTCCTAGCTGACATATACTCCTCCTTGGATACTGCTTCAGCACAAGCAAGAAGTAGGTGCACAAGATGAAGCCCATTGTCTTGTTCCTTTACGATAATGACAAGGAAAATGTTAGTTCTTGAATTATGAGTCCATATTTTGAGGTAAATTTTTTTGGTAAACCAAGTTTTTTACCTGTTCAGGTCCCATTGAAATAGGCACTATTAAGTTGTGTAAATTTTGTAGCTGTTGCTCCTGATGCAGCAGTCGTTGTGTTCTTTGTGACGGCGGTGTTTGTTCTTGCTGCTGTTGCTGATGGTATCCTAGTTGCTCTTCTTGCTGCCTTTCCTCTTTTAATTGCTGTGATAATGGTGCAGGCTGAATCGATCCAGTCTGATAATAAATGCCATTGGTTCTAGTCACCTGTGAACTTCCATGGATGGTTGTGTCATTCGCTAATGATCCACAAAATCTAGTTGAGTTTGGCAGTGTTAAGCAGTCAAACAATTCTGGAACGCTTGTAAGCGCATCAAAACAATCAAATGAAGTTTCTCCTTCGCTAATCTTCATAGGGGAGAAATCTATGAAATCATCGACCTTCTCATGGTTATTATCATCCAATAGGCTCTCTAGTGCAGGCAGGGAAAGACTCTCTACCTGCATAAATTGGTTGTTTGGAGAGTTGAAAACCCTGTGAAGAGGGATCATTCCCTTGAATTTCTGCATACTCCCCAGAGAAGACGATATGCGAGGAGACCACCCCATAATACCCTGCCCATTCATTGCATGAATATAGTTGGAATTGATGTTGCTTGCCTGTGGTGAGTTTATGTTCCTCACTGGAGAGGAAATCATAAAATCACCTTCCAACTGATCAGAGAAAATAGACTCCCACATTGGATAATCAGGGGATTGAATTTCAACATCCCAATCCACTTCAAATGGGAGAGCTGGAATACTTGGAGTCAAGCTGGTTAAGCTCGTTCCGGGGGTCAAACTAGTTAGGCTTGTGGCTATTAAGCTATTGGGAGTTTCAAAGTCAGATAATGAAGAATTCTTCTTTAACTCAGAAACGGACTCATTTGGTGATAAGGGTTCTTGCTTGGTGCAAGAATGGTCACTCTTTAGACTCCCAACTGTTACTTTCAAGTTTCCCATCTCAGTTTTATGCTACCACTTCCAGTCTCAATATTGAAACTCCCAAGCAGCCACAAATTGTGTTACAGCATAATAAAAGGTTTTTGAAGATGGAAAGAAGTCATATTGTTTGGTAACAAGGACAATTAATAAAGCTGAGAATTGTGGTTCCATCTCTTTTTAAGGCTAAAGATTTTTGACCACTTTGTGCATAATGTTCAACGAAGAGAGAGAAAAAGGGGGATGTGGGGACAAATTCCATCTCTAATTTTCTCATGATTGGAGGTTAGTGAATTGAGCACCTCATCTTCAAAGATGGGTTTGTAGATTAATTATTTTGTCATATTCAATACCTGTTTTAACTGTATCTATGCATTCTTACCATTCCTGAACTGTACGACAGTTGTTGAGATGGGTCCACTTCCCTTGGGCCGGCCTTGGGGAAACAACATTGGTGGACTAATATGGAATATCAATCATATATTTCATGAAGTTACACTTTTATCAACTTTTCATTTATATATTTTATCAATTTTTCAACATATATTTAATCATTTTTTTTTATCGAAATTTGCCAAAAATTCAAATAGGGGCTAAAATTTATTAAAATAATAAAAAGAATGATGATGTTTACTATGATTTTTTTTTTTCCAGGTTAAAGACGAATGGGAAATGGTCTGAAATGGCGTCGGGTGCACCGCCTAAGCTTTGGATTTGTCAAAGGACCGAAGCTGTTGTCCTCCTCCTCTGTTGTAACCCAAAAAAATGAAAGGTGAATTTGTTTATTTTGTCTCATCTCCTCCACCAGCTTTTGTTTTGATTGCTTAAGCATGTAATTATTGCAGATCCCGTGTGGTTGTACTGCCAAAAGACAAACATATGGACCATTTAGTGTGTTGTTTTTACTCTGAAATAATCTATAGAGGATAAAAAGATTTGATTTGGATAAGATGATGTGGATCTAAAAATAGTATATTCACTTTAATATAAATTATTATTTGTTTCCTCCTTAAGTTTAGGGTGATAGAAACAATGTATTTATCATTGCTGGTGTTTCATAATCAATTTATGTGGTAGGGTCCTGTCGTCAACAATCATTAATAGATGTGTCAATGATTAACTTGATAATGTGTTTTCTATAGACTTAATAATAATTGCTGTGAAATTTGTAATTAGTGAACTATTTAGATGTTTTCTGTCCTTTTAAATGGCAGATAACAACTTGGATTATTCCTTCAACGAGAAACTTTTCGCAATTCGGAGATCTTACCATAACTGCTTCGATTTCTCCTTCGACAAAGCTATACTAATTTACAACACCGAATCAATTATTTCATTGTAAACCCATAATTTTGAGGTAGTAATACATAATATTGTCATCAGATTGTAAATGTACTAGTTGATGCCGATAACAAATGTTAATTAGTCAACCATGATTAGATTAATTTGATGGTGCACAAACGCAATAAAATTTTATTTGTGCAATCAATTTTTAGGGTAGATTATCAAGCACGACGTAAATTATGGATATTTAGTAGACTCATCATGTGGATAACCGGTTTATCTCGCTTCTTGCAAATTAGTCCAATTTGAATAAGCCCGTGTGAATGTGAACCATTTGTGATAGAGATTTTGTGTGCTTTTATCAAATACTAATAGTAAGCACGTGCGTTGCACATCTTGTGTATTGAATAAATGATATGTATAATGTTTTTAAAGTATTAATACTATTTTTGAAAGTAATTGATGTAATATTAATATAGCAAGCACTGTTTGTCCTTAAGCTTTGCAATTGGTAATTGCAAGTATTGATTTATTGAAAATTATTTTCTCGTCAATTTGAATGAATATTCTTCACCATTTGGTGGAGTTAAAGAGATGCACAAAATGAAAACTTATTTTTCACCATGTTGTCCACCGGTTCTTTCTGAATAAATAATATAATTTTTGAAATCATGACAAATCATTCTTATTCTACTGTAAAGATCGTTGGATGGGTCCAAATTCCTTGAGTGCATCATTGAACAATTTCTTTTCAAGATTAACTTATGTAGTGAGATACCATTTGTAACAATGTACTTAGGAACTTCTCTTGGTAAAGTTGATTTATAATTAGATTCTACACAAAAGATAAAAAAAGGATAATCAAATATGAAATGAAATTACCCAAAAAAAAAAAAAAAAAAAAAAAAAAAAAAAAAAAAAAAAAAAAAAAAAAAAAAAAAAAAAAAAAAAAAAAAAAAAAAAAAAAAAAAATCATACGTTGATGATAAAGAATAAAAATGATCAAATGATCAAATATTGAATTCAATTGACAATAAACAGGCATGTAAAAAAATTTCTAAATTCTACCACTTTCACAAACAATTAGCATACTTACATCCATAAAAATAAATTTTTATCCTTTCTACTTTATTTTGAATGACAACTTCAAATACATTATATAATTCTTACTTTAAAGTAACGAAATTCTTATATGATCTATTTAAATATAAATATGTCAAATTAAATTTAAAAAGTAAATTATGTACACTTGAATATTAATATGTAAAAATCGATGCATAATTTACATTTATTAAATATATCCAAAATCATAAAATATAAAAAAGTTATATATCATTTAATTTGTCGAAAGTAGGGACACCTTCAGTCTCTTGCTTTGGTTTGCCTAAAATTCAGGCAAACATATTTTGATTCATTTCGATTCAATTTGATTTGATTAGATTCTGTATCACTGGAGACATGTACCTCTTTTCTAAAAATTATGTGAAAGCTAATAGGAGATGATGATAAATAAATAAATATATAAAAAATAATTGGTAAATACTTAAAACCAAAAGTTAGTTTTCTAAACATGCTTTGCATACGACAAAAGAATTTATAATTTAAACACAGTTATGAAGTCAAATTTAAGATCGTTTATAGTTTAATAAAGTTAATATTTATATAAAATATAACTTTAATAAGTATCAATGATACTTATAACTTTTAGTATATCGTATAACACTATTTTAACATGATGACATTAAAATTTAAAATCTACACTTTTAGATGATAATATGACTATTGTTCTATCGTTATAATTGATAAAAATAAAAATTGAAATGCCTACAAAATTTTAAAATATCAAAATATTTAGATAAAAAATTTGTGGGATGGGACATAGACTTTAACTATTTGATTACGCAATTAAATGATTTACATAATTAATTTTTATCTACAGCTTTGTGTCAAAACCAAATATTCAGAATTAAAAAAAAAAAAAAAAAATTGGGAGGCTATGCAATCAAGAGCCTTCTTAATGATTAGTAGTCATAATTTAGTTAAAAAAAAAAATTTATATCTTTCCTATGAATTAAAGATATCAATACTAAGTGAATTTAAATTGTTAGGATTGCTAAAATCAATAAAATTAATAATTCAAAAATGATTAAATATTACATGGAATGATGGAAATGTGTACTGAATCAAACCTATAAAGGTTAAAAATTTTGAGAATATGACCAAAACTATACATCATTCCTGACCACTCGGCCTTAGCATATGTCGGCGATACCCGTGGGTGGAAGAAAGACTTGTGATTCATTCTGGTCATGAAGTGGTTTCGGCTGGGATTGTGCCCATTTACCTCAATTTTCCTTTTAGCCCATCCAGTCAAACTCGTAGGAAAATTTTGAGCCAGGATTTTAGGTCATTCTGAATAGAATTACTACTTTATGATCAAGGAAGTAAAAGAATTTTATTATTCTGTAAATAAATATTTTAAAATATTATTCTACTTTTAGGAAGCAAAGAATATATTATCCAAAAGAAACAAAAGCAAATTAAAATTTCTTATAAAAGACTAGAAGACCAATTTGCATCTTGAACGTTAGAATAAATATAAAATACTCCCAACGTTATTAGATTATACACATGAGCAGACTTTTCAGGTAGAAAAGAATATCGAATGATAGATTCAAACTTGTAGATGCCGTCGAAAATTCTTCATTTTTACCTTTGAATTTTCGTATATCATTCGACTACCAAGTTTGATTTCAAATATTATAATTGCATTTTTAATCATAAAGGACGGTAGATAATTCGTATATAAATCAATCTGGATTACCAAAGTCAGACGTTTGCCTATGCCAACCCATAATCTCTATTTTCTGTCCTTTTTTTTTTTTTTTTTGATATCCAGGTATCCACCTTACAGTGATTAAATTCTGGAGTCTACACCTTGGCCCCTCAAGCTGCAAATAGGTTAAACCGCAGGTTGTGCTCTAAACTGAGCAGTGCTCAAGAGCCCCTCAACTAATCTGTCAAAGTGTCAAACAAGTCGTTTATTCCCATCTTTGCACCTTGCCTTCGAGTAGAGATCCTGCCCTTCAGGAGAATATCTACTTTTCAAGAACCTTCCAGGAATCAAACTCACGACCTCTGATCTGCCAGCCTTGAAGCGCCCTCATCTTTGCCAATTAGGATGTGCCTTGGGAGGCCTCTATTTTCTGTCCTTGATATTATTGAAGGATGAGTGATAGATGGAGACATAGTGGTGGTTAGCTTGAAATTTGCTTGTTTTGATTCACCATAAACTAAGTATTGCACACTGTGTTAGAATTTGGGCGTGACCCGAATTTTTTAATAAAAATAATTGAGAGTTCTAGTTAAAATGCATATTAAGAAGAATTCTATTCAAATGCTTTTGGAATCTTATTCGAAGTATATTAACAAATTCCAGTTGAAATTCTATTTGGAAGTCCTATTGGAAGTTATAATTTAAGTTGGGCTAAAAAGATCAAGAAAAGAAAACTTTTGGGCAGTCTATTTCATACACAACTCTACTTTTAGGACTTGGATTGTCCCTATATATATTTGACTCTTCTTTCAGTTTCTGTATTGCTAAAATTGTATATTTTTCTCCAATGGTTGTCAAATAATAAAATTACTCGATTCTTTTGTCAGTCTCCTCTTGCTTTAATCTTGTTCTTACTTTTGTGATCAATATTTCATCTTGTACCATACTTGCCTCCCCGTTCCCAACAAGTGGTATCAAAGCTATTGATTGTGATTTTGTTTGAGGTTTTTCGTTATCAATGATAACCATGCAGTATGAAATTTTGCTTTTGGATCGCAATATAAGCTTTTTGTTGCGGTAAGTGAAGATGTGAACTATATTGGCATAGATGGGTTTAGATGATGCGTTGTTTGGATTTGACAAAATGCCCACAACTTGAACAACAGAGGAGAAACAACGAAAGGATCAGAAGACATTTTCATAGATTTATCTTTATCTTTCTAACAATATTCTTCAAAACATTTTGAAAGAGAAGAGAACAGCTACGTTATGGTTGAAGTTAGAGCAATTATGCATGACTAAAAGTTGACAAGCAAATTGTATTTGAAGCAAAGGTTGTATTATGATCGCATGGCAAAAGGCAGATATTTGGAAGATCATCTCGCTTTGTTCAAGGAGATTGTCCTTGATTTAGAGATATTAGAGGTAAAGTATGACGAAGAAGATTTAGCCTTAATCATGTTGTGTTTGATGGTTTGGGACACGATTTTGTATAGTCATGATACTCCTACCATTGAAAGTGTATATGATGCCCTGTTCTCAAGGGAGAGGATGAAGCATCTGGTTGGATTTGAGTCCAAAGTTGAAGAAGGTCTTATGGTTTATGGTGATTGGTGAAGGGGTAATTCAAGGTCGAGTTTCAACATTCAGGTTTGCTATTATTGCAAAAAATTACAGAATAAAGGTACTTCGGTTGCAAATTATAGGAAGCAATCGAACACTTCGGACGAGACTAACATAGTTGAGGACTATTTGAGTGATGAAGATATCTTGACGATTTCTGATGTGGAATCCAAACCAGACAATGAGTAAAATTTGGACTCAACTTGTACGTTTCATATGTATCCCAATCAGGATTTTTTTGAAACATATAAAACGATGACGCAAGGTGTCGTTGTCATGGATAACAATGAACTTTTTCAGGTAGCTGGTATTGGTAGAGTCAGATTGAAGTTGGTAGAAACAAATAGAATACTTGATAACGTTCGACATATTCCAGATTTGAAGGAGAATCTCATTTCGTTGAGTATTCTTGATTTGATAGGGTATATGTTCTTTGGAGCAAGTGGAGTCTTTAGGGTTTGAAAGGGCGTTCGTATTGTATTAGAGGGACGAAAGATGTCCCAATTATACATCTTATAAGGTTGAGCAGAATCAGTGAAGAAAAGTCAGCACAAGTTTAGTACGATGGTAGAAATTCAATTTAGTACTGTACCTTTGGGATTTGGCTTTGGGTCCACACTGAAAAATACTACTCAACCGAGTTTGGAGGATATGAGTAATTCCGCTTTGCCACCATTGTATGCAGTTCCACCGTATTCAACTGCTAATGATAAACCCATTGGAGATATATACGGGAATGTTGATTTGGTTGCACACGCTTTTGGGGTTTTTGAAAATGTCAAGACTAGCAAGGGACCTTCGGTGAAAGCATTACGAATTGATTTTGCTACAGGGTATGCTTCAACTCTGTTTGATAAATCTTGTATTCTTTGTAAAAATTTTGGCAACCCGGTGTTTGGGTTTGGGTATCATTTGTAGATACAATAGAAATGGAAGAATAATTTTTTGTGAGGTTGAGAAATTTGGTTCTAGTTGAAAAGTTCAATTTATTTTGTTGTAGTCGGACTTATTTTTGCAGATGAAAACTTTTTGGAGCTTCATTTATTGCACCAGATCTCGTGTCAAGTTGGAGATTGTTAAAATTTTGTTGTAACCCGAATTCTTTGATGAAGATAATTGAGTATTCTAATTAAATTGCACATTACGAAGAATTTTATTTAAAATGTTTTTGAAATTGTATTCGGAGTCTATTAGTAAATTCTAGTTGAAATTTTATTTGGAATCCCTATTGGAAGTTGGAATTTGTATTGGACTTAAAGAGATTAAGATAAGAAAATTTTTGGGACTTTCTATTTCATCCACAACTTTGATCTAGGGCTTGGATTGTCCCTATATATATTTGATTCTTCTTCCAATTTATGTATTGCTGAAATTATATTTTTATCTTCATTGGTTGTCAATTGATGAAATTACTCGATTCTTCTACCAATCTTCTCTTGCTTTTTAATCTTGTTTTTGTTTGTGTGATCAATACTTCATATTGTGTCATATTTGCCTATCCGTTTCCGACACGCTGCATAGTAATAAGTAATACATATATCATGCACTATCCTATTGGTGAAGTAGGAGAACAAAAAGGAGAGAGTATACATGTTTTCTCACAATTTTGCTACGTTGCGAAACAATTTTGATACATTCTTTGATAGAATGCATTCTATCATTCACGTGTTTAAAAATAATAATAATAATAAAAAGAATTTTTGCACCAATGAAAACCAGACAACGCTGTTTCTGTCAAAAAAGTGGACACCAAATTCTGGCAAAACAGCTTAATTCTTTTTTCCATTTGCAAAGCAAAATTGTTTGACCTTTTGACATTTCAAATTACTACTTTTGAATTATTAAGTAATTGCCTAAATAGTGAAAAGGCTGCCTAAATATATGGTCCTTTATCAACGTGCTAATAGATGTATCTGTGGTCCAAAACCCTAATCCCAGCTTCTGTTTCAACGAATATTCTTCTCGTATTTCCAAACAAGAAAATTATATTATATAATAGAATAATGCTATTTGCAATCACTCACTACAACAGTCGCTCTATGTGATATATACATGGCAGGTAGTTATTTGATACATTAATGAATAAAAAAAAATATCACATTAATGTACGAAATAATCACCTGTCATGTGTATGTCACGCAGGGTGATTGCCGCTGTGAGCGACTACAAATAGTATTACTCTATATAATAAGATGCATCCACGTTGCATCTCCCTGTTCCCAAAAAAAAAAAAAAAAAAAAAGCCTAAATATAGTAAAGTTTCCACCTCAGATTAGGCTTGCGGTATGCCATTTTTATTATAAAAAGCCACCTTTAAAAATTAAAAAAAAAATAAATAATTATTCAAATATTTTGCTCTCTTTTTGGAGATTCATATTCTCTCATGTTAATACTAGTTTAAACTAACTTGAAATGTAGTTTGGACTCAAATATTAATTCGTTTTTTAGAAAAAACACATTTCTAACCAATAAGAATGTCATAGAAAAAATATATAAGAATGGTTACATCATATTGCATATGTTATAAAATATTTATTTTCCATACATCCTTTAATATTGCTATAACATCCACAATGATGTTATATAAAGCCTATGTCTCCATAAACTTATAAGTTGCTTATAATCTCTTTAGAATGCAAAAAATAGTAAATCCCTTAAAATTTGCTGGTAATAATTGCAAATATATGATTAAAATTAAAGTTTGACTTTAACAGAAGATTATAAGCTACTAATAAATTTATTAAAACTTAGGTACCGTAATATCACGTTACTTTAAAAATATTCCAGTATTGATATTCTTGTTAAACAATGAACTTACCTCATTTAACAATTACCATTAAAGTTTCAACTTTCAAGACAAATAAGTTTCTGTCTTGCTATTGAAATATATAGGCATACACCTCAATATCATGTGTCAAACCAAAATTAACCAGTCTGAACATATGGATAGAGCAATTATTCTCGACTAATATTCTACATGTTATCATGTGAATTTTTAAAATATATTGTATTTTAGTTCATTACATGTCTTGTTTAATTCGTTTTAGCCCACATTTCGCTCTTTCTTAATTATAAACTTGTTCTTGGTGTCTACTATTGTTAATCCATTCGAGACAGATTTAATACCTATATACTGTGGTACTCTTTCTAATGGAAGTCTCTTTCTTAATGATGAAGCCGCCCTCTCTTTTTCCGTTCTCTCGTGTATCTGGACTAACAACTTTTTCTTCTAATTCTTACATTGAAACATTTGACGTTTTGTATACGGCATCTTTCTTCTCCCTCATGCCTATATACAATATAGAGACATATATTCTCATTTTACAGATCTGCTGCCCAGCCTTCTCCATCAAGCCGTCCTAGTTCTAATTTAGAACAACCTTTTTTTTTTTTTTATATATTCTCATTAATTTCTCTGATTTCCTTTTCTGTATGGAGAATCATCCAGCGTTTTCTCTTGCTTCTTCTACCACATTGGGAGCTGCTCCTTCCTCAAACATGGCTAATTCTAATGCCCTAAACGGTGTATTTTATAACAGTAATGTCCCCCATGGATTACAGAGGGAAATAAATTTCCCTCTAGCACCAGTGAAAGATCGTTCTCTTAGCAAGAGCGTTGTACCAATGGAAAATGAAGCCAAATCTGGTAAGGAAAAGTGTGCTGAGAAGAAACCCAGAAAACCTAGAATCGCTTTTCGAACAAGAAGCAAAGTAGATATACTGGATGATGGCTATCGCTGGAGAAAATACGGTCAAAAGGCTGTGAAGAACCAAAATTTTCCAAGGTATATTATATTGCTCTTCTTTCATCAGCTATCTAAGCAGTAATTTCCAGTATGATTAATACTGTAGGAAATTAGGGTAATGAAATTAGTATATTAGCTGTTTCTTTTCTCTTTGAAGTAGACAAATAGGTTCTACATATATAGGAGAGGATGGGTTGAAGCTTCTACTGGTTATTTCCTCAAAGCATTAAAATCACCATGCATGTGGGATATTTAGACAGATATCAAGATTCCAAAGTTTTACCCCAAGAGACAAAGATCTGCACACACATACATACAAACATAGAATTAAGTGGTTCTATTCTATCTAGCTACTCTCGAGTTACATAAAATTAATGAGATGATAAATCTGGTTCCTGATCAGGTTTTCATCTTCTAGTTTGTGATTCTTATTTTGATGAAAACCATTTACAAATTGCAAATTAAGTCGATCATTTTTGTTTTTTTATTTTTATTTTTTAAATTTACATATATATATATGTGTGTGTGTGTGTGATGGCTTCACCATACTGTCAAGAAAATTTTGTGATCTATACAAGTGTCATTAATTCTACGTAGAACAGATTATTTCAACAAAATTCTACTCTTTGCGGACATGGTTTAAGGTGAATAAACAACTGATATTGAGTGCATATAACAATATTGCGTGCTGCACAAGTTCATAAATATATAAATTTTGCGTATCCTTAATCCTTTAACAGGGCCTTTGGATTATAAATAATTTTAAAAAAAAGTGACCGTAGATATTAATAACGTGGACAAATTTTTATTAAGAATGGAGTTGTTCTCCCTATTCTTTATATAGCATTCGTCCAGGGCTCCACGTTGTTAAGTGTTTTAGTTGGATTACTTAGCCATTGGCGAGTTATATCAGATGATTAAGTCTTTGCTCGAGTTTGTGGACTATGGGTGGTTGGTGTGCCATTTGTAATTTGTATGGAGGTATGTGTTGGGAATCTACAGCGGAAAATTAAAATTAATTCGATTCCCACCGAGAATCCCTTTGTGTTTAGATAGAAATCGTGATAAAGATTGTATCTTTGAAGAATTCTACAAACCTTTTGCTTTTCTTTTCGTTCCAGTAATCTTGATTCGCCAACCACAGCTGTCCAATTGTCCAGCCTTCAACGGTGATCCACACAGAGAACAAGATTGCAACTATCAAAGTTTTTTCCTCTTATGCTAGCAAAAATAATTATGAGAAAAATCATATGGATTGAAAACCCTAGCCATGTATTTATATAAGCCCAAATGGACCTGGTCTGGTCCGGTCCAATATTTAATTAATCCATTTAACTAAATCCGGTCCGTGAATTAATTAATCCCCTTAATTAATTCGGGTCTATAAATAACCAACCCAAGTAATTAATTTATCCAACGATTGTTAAATTAATTAATTGATAAATTGCAATATTTCAATTCTCTTTAATGTGTGACCCATCAGGTTCCCGATCACGATACCTAACGACGTGAAATATTATTTTGATCTAATCAAAATTAATAAATTAAAACACCCTTTTAATTTATCGTCAATTCACACTCGCCGTCCCAGATTGACATCTAACAATGTGTTAAGGCAATACATGTGACGAAAAATGTCATGTGGTATGACAAAATCAAACTCGTTTGTTTACCGTGAAACTATAATCCCTTCGTCAATATGATCTGATCAATTACGAGATATGGAAGTACGTCAATCTCGATTATCGATCATATCTTTCACTCCACTATTAAGTCAATATAAGTCGAAAACTCCTTTTCGACTTATGAGTACACCTTGGCCAAGGATTTCGTTATCGACTTAATTGAATGAAACGCTTATCATAATCTCTTACTATCTAAGAGTGATGAATCCTCTATTGGTCATTCACAACCTTCATATGATTATTGACATACCCGAACGATGCCGTATTAGCAGCCCTTGGCAGAGAAACATCCAACACCGTCAAAACATGACCGTCCTCATATAAGGTACTATGACGATCTCAAGTCAAAAGGACAATTCCACTACCGAACGTTAGAGATTAACCACTGACACTCAGATAGTTATCCATGTGGAATCTCTGAGCGGGTCTCCAATGTTTTGTTCTATAACAAAACATCCACGTATTCATTTAAGTGTCACCACACTTTAACTTGTGAGATAAGCTACTTACTTCATAAGTAAGAAATGCCACACGTGATGGTCTATCCGTAATAACAATATCCGTATCTCATTATTACTTACCACCATGGATGATTTAAGATTAAATCAGATATGATTTGTATCTCACAATCACAACTCCTTGTGATTAACAAATTACAAAGGTTTGAATCTACGGACTCTATTATTTATTTAATTGTCTATTAATTAAATAATAGATCTGTCATTAAATTGCATTAATTATTTATCAAAAGTATTTATGTCCAAAGCTGATTGGACCTAGGGCATAATACTTAAAAACTCCCACTTGTACTGGATCCAATCACTTATGTATCATAAGTCTACATGATGATCATGTTTATGCTACAACAACTCTTTGTCAGTGGATCTGCAATATTGTTAAATGTGGGAATTTGTTCTTCTCTTTACGTCATTTCTATGTATTATCTCTCTGATGAGATTATACTGCCTTAATACATGTTTGGATCATTGATGAGGCCTTAGTTCCTTCGCTTTCGCAATGACTCTATTATTATCACAATACAATGGCACGTGATCAACAATATCAGGAACTACTCCAAGTTCATTTATGAACATCATGATCCAGATTGCAACTCTTTGCTACTTCTAAAGTAATTATGTATTAGGTTTCTACTATTGAATCAATGGTTGCTTCACGTTTGGAACCTTTCCAACATACCGCTTAAGAGTAAACCAGTTTCTCCATATGAAATCTTCTCAAGATTTCATATATATAAATTGGGATTAGTTAAGCAATCTTCTAAATTTACCTCTATAGATCAAGTTGCTTTTCTCATATCGTTCATGAATAAATCCTTTAACAATCATTATTTTAACGATTGAAATATAGGGATGTCATTTTCTATAATATTAGAAATGCGATAATACTCCCACTATCTTCTTGTAAACACACAATTCGTCTTCAAATTTGATAAAATCAAACACTTTGACCTTTTCATCAAATCTAAGATTTCAACTCCAAGAGACTTCTCTTAACCTATAGTCATGGTATGCAACTGTTGCAAGCAAAATCCGAATGGACTTCAGCAAGGCTACAGGAGAAAGGTTTCACCAAGGTCAACACTTAACCTTTGCTTCTAACCTTGCTTTGTATATATGGATATTCCCATCCATATTGATTTTTTCCCTGTAAACTATTTACAAAAATTTATGGGTTTTATTTCATCAGGAGGCTTGACCAAGGTCCAAACGTTGTTCACATACGTCGAGTTCATCTCGAGTTTCATGGCCTCTTGTTGTCTCTTTTAAGTCAACACTTGACTTCATTTTGTTACAACTAGTAGGTTTATTATCCTGGATCAGTAATACCTGATTAGTAATCATGGATTCGCACCTTCTTGAAGGTCTAATGATCCTACTAGATTCACATAGAGCTGATATGTCCTCAGAAGTCTTTACTTCCTGATCAAGAGTATGTCCCATATCAGATATGGGATCAAACTCGGATTTATCTACTTGGTTAATTATATCTGTGGACTCTTGAACTCTTTCAAGTTCTATTTTGCTCCCATTGTCCTCCTCTAGAGTAAACATTTTCTCTAAAAGGACGATATGTTGTGAGACAAAGACTTTCTTCATGATAATAGAATTTATATTCAAATGTCTGTTTTGAATATCCCCACAAATACGTATTTATCATATTTAGTGTCAAACTTATTCGATTCAAGGCGCTTCAAATAAGCATCATGGCCCCAAACTTTCATATGAGATAAGTCCCACTGCCTTTCCATAACTCGTATGAATTTCTGTTAACCAACTTAGATGTGACATGATTTAGTTTGTTGCACACTGCAATCAATGCATGACTCCAAAATAATTTTGGGAGATTTACATGGCTTGTTATTAATCACATTATATCTAATAATTAACGATTCCTCCTTTTAGATACACCACTATGCTGCAGTATAAATGGAGGAGTCCACTGCAAGAGAATATCATTCTCTCTTAGATAATCTAAATTTTATCTTTAAGATATTCTCACTCGATCCAATCTTAATGTGAGGATATCTTTACCTATTTGTTTCTCTACTTCTAGTTTGAATCCCTTGAGTTTTTCAAGAGTTTCATGTTTGAGTTTTCATCAAGTATACATGATCATTGATGAAATAAGAGAAACATTACCTGACCTCATTTGACATGAGTCCATATGCATCACTATGCATTAGACCAGTAATTATGCTGACCTTTCTTCTTTTCAAGTAAAAGAAGATTTGGTCATTGTGCCAGACATGCATAATTTGTATTTGTCAAAATCAATTAATCACAAGTATACATCTCTATGTAACTTTGGAATTGCATTTCATGACAAAGTCCACCATGCCAGATTTAGGTAATAATTAGATTATCGCACTTATGCCTTATAATTTCTATACTCATTAGAAAATCCTTAGTATTTAGAATATAAATGTTATTTTGTGATTCACCATAAATTTTAAGATCTTAATCACGATAAGCAGGAACAACAAATTGTCCTTAATATTAAAATAGTTCATGTCTAAACATGAAATTCATTTTAATATTCCAGCTATGGTGGGTACAAAGCAATATTTCTCTAATTCCATTACTAAGCCAGAAGGCAACGGCAAGAAGTATACCCCTACAGGCAATGCAGCAACCTTTGCTTATTTTCAACGTGTAGGTTAACTTCTCCCTCTTACGGTGGTCTATCTCTATTTAGTTTCTCCATATTTGTATAAATATGAGATCCACATCTGGTATCTAATACCTGAGAAGCTAATGAAATAGTCATAAGCCTTGCAATATTTCTTCCAATGACCTTTCATTCTATAACAAAGACAAGGTTCATTAGATTTGATATTGTCCTTTGCTCAGACTGTTTTAACATATTGAATGCTTTCTCAAAGCCCCTTTAGATTTTCTCTTAACACTCTTAGAGGAATCAATGGTTTGACCACTACCAATTTTGATAAAGGGCTTAACAGTTCCAAGCATGTTAAGCAACTTAAAGAGTATGTATTCGAGCTTATTCATATCATAATTCATAATTAGTATGAATAACTCTATGACAGAGATTGCAGAACCAAGTCACTACTTAGTTCATGGTTCATGATTGAACTCAATTGAGATATCTCTCAACGTCAGTCATCTTTAGTGTCTAAGCATCGATTGAAGATTACTCTGTCATTTTGCACCGGTATAGTTGTTTGGAAGTCTCATATCCTTCCACACATGATTATTATCATACAACTCTTTGTAATGAAGAATTATGTATTAACATCTATACTCTCAAGTTGTTTTTGTAACTCAGGTGACATAGTTGCAAGCATCACATGCGTGCAATACTATCTCATCACTGTGCTTATTATAGTAGCCACATTTTCCTTAGTTGAGTCATCATCAAGTGTCTCTGAAAAATGGCTATTTAAGGACAACCAACTTTCTCATGCTTGAGAACAATTCTCAAATTGCAGTGTCAATCAAGAAGATTCAATTTAGTTGTTGGCATCCAGTATGCCATTCAAAGCATATGGTTACTCAGGATTCATTATAAATGTAAATGACGAAAAAGGAAAAGAATAATATATAAAATGTATCAATTAATTTAACATGGACTTTTATTAAATTAATTATACTCCCACTGTTTAACTCAAATTTATGACTCCCTCGCATAAATTTATGGAGTCCATACTTGACTCTCAGTGGACTGGGATCCCATCTGTTATATCAAGATCTTGAGTGTAATCAACAAACCTTAATAAAATATTTGGATAGATATTATTATCAATTGCATCTCCATACAACTCCCAGATCGTTAAGCTGACAACTTTTTGTCATTACACATCTTATATGTTAGCTTAACATGCCTCTAAAATTTATCTCCTTGAGTGTACTCAACAAGAGATAAACTTTAGTTAAGTCAAACCCATCATTCTGAAATATCCAATATTTTATAGTGTCAAATATATCCCTAATAGACTAGCCTTGAATGTACTCAATAAGTTGAGACGATTTGGGACTTTGATTTTTCACTATAATGATGGAAGGCGAAAGTAAAATATGACTTAATATTTTATTGAGGGGTTTTTGCATTCAAAGGTCTCATCATAACAATAATATATATTTTATCATACATCTACCATGCAAATAAATATATATATAACATAATATAATAGTGTGGACGATTATGAACTTTTACTATCTAGTCTTCCCGAGTTATAAGGAAGACTAGTTGATCAATTCTTAGGGGGTATAGTATTAAACAGTATCAATGCACCATCTCCATTGTCTCTTCCTCTTCTTGTTTCTTCAATTAGCCCAACTGCAACTTATATCCTATACTAGTTGGTACGCAGGCCTAAATGAAATTGGACTCGCAGGCCCATAGTAACAATAACGAACTCGCAGGTCCAAAATGATAACAATAATAATAGGCTCGCAGGCTCAAAAATAATTAAGAGCTCGCAGGCTCATAAAACAATAAGAATAAAATTAACCATTGAACACAACTACATGGTCGAGTCCATAATCGTCCACTAATAATACATTCATCACATAAATGTATGCATATATAATATCTAATATTATATCCTAACACGTTTCAAATTTCTAGCAATTAATTCTCTTTTAAACAAATGGATTGGAACAATTAAATAATTAATTAATCATATTAATCAATTAACTTAATTAGCAGGCATATTTAATTAAATATCAAATTATAGTCCAACTCTAATTTCACAATTATAGGTGGGATTATTTAATTAAAATCAATTTTTAATTAAATATCAAATTAAAGTCCAACTCTAATTTCAAAATTCAAGGCGATTAAAACCAAATTTTAATCAAATAACAAAATTAGAGTCAAACTCTAATTCTAAGATTATAGGGTGAACTTATTTTAATTAAAATTAAATTTTAATTAAATAAGGTATTAGGGCGAACCTGTTTAATTAAAATCAAATTTTAATTAAAACCAAATTAGAGTCTAACTCTAATCTTAAATGAAATTTTAGGGCGGGACAATTTAGTTAAAATCAAATTTTAATTAAATATCAAATTAGAATCTAATTCTAACTTCAAGAATATCTTCGGGTGAAAAATTAATTAAAATCGAATTTTAATTAAGTCCTAAATTAGAGTCCAACTCTAATTTAAATTGAATCAATATTTTAAACTAGGATAACACTCCTAAATAAAATAAAATTCAATTGGGGTCAAAGTTTAACATTTAAGTTAAAATCCAATTTTATCGAAAATATTAAAAATGTCATCAATTTGAAATAAAATTTTAATTTTGGTCAAAATTAAATTTATAGGTCAAACCCATTAAAATCAAATTTAAAAGCATTTCAAAATATAAATTCAAAACAATTCTGAAATTGTATTTTTTTTTTTTTGGACCCAAACTTGAATTTATAATCAGGACCTCCCAAATAAAGAAATTGCAGAGAAGCCCTTTCATTTATCAATTGCAATCAGACCCCTAAAAATGGAATTGCAAGAAAAGGGTCCTCAATATCAAATATTGCAAGAACTACCCTTACTTAAATAATTTACAAACTGACCCCAAAATGGATACTGCAAACGGAGGCTTGCAATTTCACAAATTGCGTCAGAGCCCCCTGCCTCCATTTCACGCAAAACCGACTGAAACCCTAATAATTTTTATTATTATTTTTTTATTTCTCTACTTGGCGACGCCGGCCCTCTCCCTGCATCGCCCGACAGCAGCAGCGTAGAAGCAGCCGGGTGCTGCTTCCATTGTAGCAACGCCCGACGTTGTCCACACCTGGGTAGCGGCGTTGTCTGCTGCCGGCTGCCCAACGCCGGCGACAACTATTGTCGCTGGTCAGTCCATCCATTAATTTTTTTTTTAAAGCCAAAAATACTATTTTCTTTCTCAAAACCAATTTTGAATATGAAAATTATTTTTCTTAATTGCTAGAAACATGAAAAACAATAACAATCAAAGATTAATTCCTAACAAACACAAAGTAGGCTCTGATACCACTGTTGGGAATCTACTTATACATGCACAGCGAAAAATTAAAATTATTTCGATTCCTACCGAGGATCCCTTTGTGTTTAGATAAAAATCGTGATAAAGATTGTACCTTTGAAGAATTCTACAAACCTTTTGCTTTTCTTTTCGTTCCAGCAATCTTGATTCGTCACCTACAACTATCCAATTGTCCAGCCTCCAACGGTAATCCACATAGAGAACAAGATTGCAGTTACCAAAGTTTTCTCCTCTTGTGCTAGCAAGAATAATTATGAGAAAAAACATATGAATTAAAAACACTAGCCATGTATTTATATAAGTCCAAACGGGCCTGGCCTGGTCCGGTCCAATATTTAATTAATTCATTTAATTAAATGCGGTCCATGAATTAATTAATCCAATTAATTAATTCGGACATATAAATAACCAACCCAATTAATTAATTTATTCAACGATTGTTAAATTAATTAATTGACAAATTGCAATATTTCAATTCTCTTTTATGTGTGACTCGTCAGGTTTCCTATCACGATGTCAAACGACGTGAAATATTATTTTGATTTAGTCAAAATTGATAAATTAAAATACCATTTTAATTTATCGTCAATTCACACTCGCCGTCCCAGATTGACATCTAGCAATATGTCAGAGCAATACACGTAACGGAAAATATCATGTGGTATGACAAAACCAAACTCGTTCGTTTATCGTGAAACTATAATCCCTTCGTCAATATGATCCAATCAATTATGAGATATAGAAGTATGTCAATCTCAATTATCGATCTTATCTTTCACTCCACTATTAAGTCAATATAAGTCGAAAACTCATTTTCGACTTATGAGTACACATTGGCCAAGGATTTCGTTATCGACTTAATTGAATGAAACGCAGATCATAATCTCTTACTATCTAAGAGTGACGAATCCTCTAATGGTCATTCACAGCCTTCATATGATTATTGACATACCCGAACGATGCCGTATTAGCAGCCCTTGGCAGAGAAACATCCAACACCATCAAAACATGACCGTCCTCATATAAGGTACTATGACAACCTCAAGTCAAAAGGACAATTCCACTACCGTTAGAGATTAACCACTGTTACTCAGATAGTTATCCATGTGAAATCTCTCGACGGGTCTCCAATGTTTTATTCTATAACAAAACATCAACGTGTTCATTTAAGTGTCACCACACTTTAACTTGTGAGATCAACTACTTATTTCATAAGTAAGAAATACCACACGTGATGGTCTATCTATAATAACGATATCCGTATCTCGTTATTACTTATCACCATAGATGATTTAAAATTAAATCAGATGTAATTTGTATCTCACAATCACAACTCCTTGTGATTAACAAATTACGAAGATTTGAATCTACGGACTCTATTATTTATTTAATTGTCTATTAATTAAATAATAGATCTGCCATTAAATTGTATTAATTATATATCAAAAGTATTTATGTCCAAAGTTGATTGGATCTAGGGCATAATACTTACAGTATGGAGCTATGAATTAATTAGCCTTACAATGCAAACACGACGGTAACTTTAATATGAAGTATATAACTTGTATATAATCTGTTTAAATGCTGCAATTTCAGAGGAAACTGTGTATCCTTTGCAGAAGCTATTATCGATGTACTTATGAAGGGTGTAATGTTAAGAAACAAGTGCAAAGACAATCCATGGACGAAGGCGTTGTGGTGACTACTTACGAGGGAATGCACGTGCATCTAGTGGAAAAACTTAGCGACAATTTCGAACAAATTCTCAACCAGATGCAAATTTATCCAGCTTTTTGATGTCTTCAAAGTTTGATCACTGTTACTAGTGGGTGGTTAATACATGAAGGATATATATATAACTAGTCTGTAAATGAGACAATCTTTTAATACATACATACATACATACATATATATATATATATATATATATATATATATGTGTGTGTGTGTGTGTGTGTGTGTGTGTGTGTGTGTGTGTGTGTAGCAACTCAATTTTATGCTTAAGGAATTGGAAACAAACTATGTATGATATTCGCTCTCATTAGTAACTGCGACTTGTTGCGTGTGTAAATTAGTGGATAGGTACCCATATAAACTTCCCCTGGTCTTTTCCTGCTGTTACATTTGGGTTTGGCACTGACATTTTCTTCGAGATAATGTATTAACTTTGATGGATTATACATTTGCCTGTCCAACTTTAAAACTTTTCTCTTTGATTTTTGTTTGTGTAATTCTATTTAGATGGTGTTTGGGAGTCATTTTTATGTAAAAATGCATTTTGAAATAGTAAATTGATGGGAAATATGTGGTTTAAAATTAATGATTTTTTTATTTACGTGTAATATTATTTTAATGAAGAATGTGTAGTTGAAAAGAAGAGAGAGAAAAATGCATTTTGAAAAAAATTCGTACCAAACGAGGCCTTAACATTTTAGTGGACTGACTCAATATTATCAATTGAACATATATAAACTTTGGATTTATGTCTACTCCCGAAGCTCCTTATTGGAAAGATGCTATCAATAATGAAATTGAGTCCATCATACAAAACCATACTTGAGAATTTGTTGATCTTCCACCGGGAAATAAAGCTTTAGGTTGTAAATATATCTTAAAAAAGAAGTTAATTAAATCAAATAGATCAATTAGATTAGTAACTAAAGAATATAGAAAAAAAAAAAAGGTCTTGACTTCTTCGATACATATTCACATGTTACAAGGACCACGTCCATTCGAGAATTGATAAAATATTTTGATATGAAAGATATGGGAGTTTTTGATGTCATACTAGGGATTAAGATCTTTAAGATAACTGAAGGGATGTCATTATCGCAATTTTATAATATTGAGGCCATACTTAAGAAATTTAAAGCGTATGACAATAACTTTGTCAAAACACCAATAGATCTAAGTTTACGTTTAGCCAAAAATACTGGTGAACATATATCTCAATTGGAATATTCATGTGTTATAAGTAACTTGATGTATATCACTAACTATACACGTCTGGATATAACATATGCAGTCAATAAATTAAGTATATTTACAAGTAATTTATAAAATGATCATTGGAAGACATTAACAAGGGTTCTTAAATATTGAAGACATAAGATAAATCAAGGATTACATTGCTATAAATATCATGTGGTGTTAGAATGATATTATCGATGCAAATTTGATATTTGACACAAATGATATAAAGTCTACAATCGGTTATGTTTTTACCATTGGAGGTGGAGTCGTGTCCTGCAAATCTTCTAAACAAACGTGTATAACTTGATCCATGATAAAATTTGAGTTTATTGCTTTACATAAAACTGGAAAAGAAGTAAAATGGCTTCATAATTTTCTCGAGAATATTTTATGTTGGAAAAAGTATGAATAATGGTAAATCTTGACTTATTCATCGAAAACATAATACCTGACAGAACACTATTAAACATCTGATTTCAAATGGTATAATATGTGTTAACTATGTTAAATTGAAGGAAAAAATAGCGAATCCTTTGATGAAATGATTACCAAGAGATCAAGTGTACCATCTATCTTGGGGATCAGGCTTGAAGCCCATTGACTAGAATCATTATGGCGGTAACCCAACCATATTGATTAGAGATCCCAAGATCTTGATTCAATGGAACAATAAAGTTATAAATGATTCGTACAAGAACTTATATGCATTCCTATAGAATAAAAGTGCTAGATTGTTTAGTGTACAAGGATATGTTACACTTTTAATGATTTCTATATCTTGAACGAAGCTAAGAGAAATATGATATGATATTATAGGAGATCTCCTATATAAGTGTGAAGTAGGTGAGAATTGAGGCTTAAATTCGTTTAAAGCACATAGGAAATCAAGAGTTGTTTAAGGCCAAAATAAACCCAACCATGAGAACCGAAATTGTTAGAGAAGTTATTGTGTTGGTGTAGTTGTTTTGATTTCAACAATGGATGAATCGTTCAAGATATCATATCCACCAATTAATCCTATAAAATCTATTATATTCTACTAAGGAAGGTTTAATGTCAAAAGCCACCTCTCTTGATGCTATAAATTGTCATATGTACTCCTTTTTTGTTAGAATATAATTTCTATTCATGTAGGGGATTGTTGGAAAATAGTTGAGGAAAAGTTGATTTTTATCGAATTTTAACCAAAATTTGCATGAGTTCTGCCCCTCAAATTGAACAAAAAAATGGTCAATGATGATCTACTCGTCAAATAGATGCATTTGGTATATTTGAACATCGAAAACTAATTTTTAGATGAATGAAAAATTAGTGAATAAAGTAGGGTTGAAAAATATGATTTTTGAATTTAAAAATGAAAATTCAATAAATAAGACAATCGCTCGAGCGGCAGCCTGATGCCAAGTAAGAGGTGAGTCACTAAAATGCACGCTCGAGCGGCAATTGGGCAGTAAGCGAACGACATATCAAAATTGATTTTTGGATTGTGTCACTTCGTGTGCACCTCTTCAACCTCTATAAATTGTATCCTTATGTGTTGGTTTCATTCACTCTCATTTTATGCAATCAAAGCATATTACATAAAATCATAATCTTTTCATAATTTTGCATCAAAACTCGTTCTTTTTTCATATAAAAAGGACTGCAAAACTTCGTTTGGTTTGCCATAGCTTGTGATTTGAAGTGCTACCATCACAATAAGTTGATTTTTGTATATTGGGGACAATTGCCAAACCACTGTCGGCACCTGTACAAGGCAAAAATTTTTATTAAGAGTAAAGAGTCCAACTCTTGCTTTGAATCTTTTACATTTCGTTCTTTTGGTGTTATTATGTCCAACCTTCCATTTGATTATGGGTAGGTATTGGTAGGTTTAAGTTATTGAAATAAAGAAATTACCTTGTGCATTTACAAACAGCAATTTTAACACTTCAGGAAATAGCACAACCAACTTTCAGTGGGTTGATTTCTATTTTGGTCACTGACTTTGTCAATTAACTTAATTTGTTTCAATCAAATAACAAAACTTCAATTTACCTCAATAATAGTCATTCGGTTAGTCTCGTTACTAAATTTAATGTCACGTTTCTTTTTGAAATTAAAATTTAAATAGTAACTCGGCGTTTCCTATATTTTTAGGTAAATATGTGATCTAATGATGTTGTGACCATAAAATTTTAAAATAAATTGTATATTGAAAATTGATGACTATCACACCATACTCAAACCTGTAATTTCAAGATTCTGCCCGAGATATATATAATAAATTGAACGCCAAGATACAAAATAATTCACAAAATAAATTACTTAACATACGGACATACTAATATACCAAGTTCCCTAAATCGTTGGAAAAGAAGAAGTTTTAAACGCATTGTATCTCTAAAAATCATTACACCCTCTTCTTGGTATGGTAGCAAATCAGAATCAATCAATCTATACATCCTACACACTCGTTTTATGTGTGAAAATCAATTCATGCAAGTACTTACATAATGAAGCCCATTTTTTGTCCCTTTATTATATGCTTTCTTATCTATGTACCAGAATGAATGATTTGGACAGATATTCCAGCATTCTTTTCAACTTGAAGCAAATGCACCTTCCATTTTTCTGCACACTGTTATCCATGGTTTGCTTCTCATTCTCTTGTTTGTGATCCTCAATGTACATCTCTATGAATAGACTAGAAAAACTTCCACCCAATTCAAGTTACTAGTATATATAATCTATTGCTTTTAGCAGAATTAATCCCTTATTCGGGGATAGTGAATGAGGCATCTTCATCTACAGTCTTGTGTTGTATTATATTGAAGATCGATATATGACCTCAATTAGGTAATACCGTTTTAAAAACGAAAAGAAATTTTAAGACCAATGAGCTGGATTGAACACGAGTCCGCTAGACGAGATATTCACTACTTGCTCCCGCAACGACTAGTACCCATACTCGTACCATCAAAAGGTCTTATTCCAACTAGACTTAGTAATAAAATATAAATTTTATTGTACCATTGATTCTGTTTCAGTTTGACATTTACAAGATTTAAGGATAAATTATCATTTTTACAAAAAAAAAAAAAAAAGGATTAAACAGTAAAGTCGCCAAGAACAAAACTGAAAGGTTGAAATTCCGATTTTGTATTTATAAGTTCAAAGCCAAAGCCGTCCAGCCACATGCGATGGCAGGGGTAATTTGGGCAGTGAGTATAAGAAATAAAAGAAAGGAATCGGAATTACAGGTACGGCACAATTTTTCTCTTTGATCCCTGGAAATAGGGTTGGCAATGGCTCGGCCCTTAATGCCACGAGCTTGGCTCGTGCTCGTGGCGAGCCGAGCTCGTGGGCCGAGCCGAGATTCGACTCGTGGGCTCGCCTAAATTTTTTTTTTTTTTATATAGAAAATAAAGAATAGAGTTTTAAAAATAAAAAGTGTTAAAAAATACAAATAATTTAACGAAAACAAATTTTTATTTTTTTTATTTATATCATATTGTAATTTGTAATATTTTTTATAAGGTATAACTATATAAAATATTTATATAATGAAAACGAATTTTTTTTTGAAATATATTTACAAAAAATATTTTTTTGATTTCTTTTTAAAGTTAATAAAGAATAGAGTTTTAAAAATAAAAAAGTGTTAAAAAATACAAATAATTTAACGAGAACAAGTTTTTATTTTTTTTATTTACATCATATTGTAATTTGTAATACTTTTTATAAAGTATAAAATATTTATATAATGAAAACGAAATATTTTTTGAAATACATTTAAAAAATATTTTTTTTTATTTCTTTTTAAAGTTAATAAAATATAAACCCTCCTCCTTTATCCGGGCTTGGGACCGGCTACATCAATTTTAAGTAGGCGGAGTTAAAAATTGTACACGAACAACTTGTTGTAACGTGTACAATTTTTTTTAAAAAAATTAAATTAAACGATTAAAAAATAAATAAAAATTTGATTAATATAATTAAATCAAATATCACTTACCTGACGACATGCAATTTCAGCGTATTTATCTTGTAGTCGAAAATGAGCGTCCTGCCAATCCTTCACACACATTAACGCTTCCAAAACATCTTCTTTCAGTCGGCTCCTGACATCAGTCAAAACTCTTTTACCTGCACTAAAAACAGACTCCGAAGCAACAGTGCTAACCGGAGGTGTCAATAGATCTTTCGCAATTGCAGAAACAATTGGCCAATGTCTTTCATACTTTCGCCAGAATTCAATTACTTCTTCTGAAGTTTTTTTAATTGTTCTGTCTGTTGGCATATTATGATTGAAATAATCAATTAATTCGGCAGGCATCGCATTTTGAGTTTCGGCCGATGTTTGATGAGATGCAGATGTAGACGACATGGCACTAGATGTACACATTGCAGTTGCATCATATCTAAATGTATTAATGCCCTGAAATAAATTCATTATTTCCGCAGCATCTTCTTCAGTTTCAGCAGAAGGAGTAGGTGCAGTAGAGGGTACCCGACTAACATTTGCACAAATTCTTTCCGCATATAAATCATACATTCCACATAATGTTTGCTCTAAATTCTTATAGGTGATAGGTGTATCAAGTATTAAAACTTTATTGATTTGATCAATTACGTATTTAGTTCCCGAAATATTATATCGGGGGTCCATTGTGCATGCTAAAGGAAATAACATAGGCAGTTCTTCCCAATATTTTCTAAACTTTAATTCCATAGCAATTAAAATTTCACTAAAAGTAGGATCATTTTTATATTTATGGAATGATCTTGCAATTATATAAAGGCGTTTAAGCACCATACAACTTGTGGGATAATAAACACCAGATAAAATCTTTGTAGTCTCATAAAAAGATGTCAAAAATCGTTTAACTTTCAAAACTAAAATCCAGTCGGATTCATTTAACATACCATCATCATCACTTCTAACATGTCTATTATTGTAAAAGTCAGTTATTAAACTTTCGAAACCTTCACATGATTTTAATAGCAAATATGTAGAGTTCCATCTATGACCTACGTCGCTAACAAATGTTTTAGCAGTCATCACTCCTAGTTCGGCACAAAAATCTTCAAATGCTTGTTTTCTACTATGAGAGATCGTAATATAAACTAATGCATTCCTAATCCTTTGAAGTTCATCATTTATATGTTTTAAACCATCTTGCACAATTAAATTCAAGATATGATACACACAACGAATATGAAACAAATACCTACCAAAATCAGGTTGAAGTGCCCTATACAATTTATCGACGACTACCTTATTAACGCTAGCAATATCAAAAGTAAAAGATCGAATTTTACTCTCACAATGATATACTCTAACAATACTGATAATAGCATTATATATATTATTAGTATTGTGAGGAAATTCAATAATTCTAAAAGCAATAATTTTCTTATGCATACACCAAAGTGGGTCTATATAGTGTGCGGTTGCAACTATATATGCTCTTTTATTAACCCCTTCCCATATATCAGAAGTTAAGGATATAACACTCCCATATTGTTGCAAATCCATAATTAATTGTTGTTTTGAATTATTGAAATAATTTATTGTATCGGCACGAAGAGTATTTCGACTTATCCCAACGTACCTCGGTTGTAGATATTCTTTCACGAACGAGACGAAGTGTTGGTTGTCTGCAATAGCCAGAGGCAACTCAGTGGCGGCAACAAATTTCACCATTCCAGTTTGAATCTCGTCCTCCGAATACACCCACGTGGATAGGGGTGAAGTTGTAGAACCGACGCCTGGACTGGCAAATTGTAATTGTGTTTGACCAGCTGGAAGAAGTCCGTGTCTGGCTGCACATGATTTGTAGTGGCGGTTGAGATGAGTGGTACCAATTCCTTTTTGTCATGCCAATCTTTGTTGGCAGTATTTACATACTGCTTTAGATTTTGCAAGGTCATCAACGACTTTTCCCGTTGAAATCAACTTAAAGTGATCCCAACATTTTGCTTGTTTTTTGGCCTTTCGCTTTTCCCTCGCATCTGGGATATTTAATTGCTGATCTTCATCTTCATGTTCCGCTTCGAAAACGTTAATATCATCCAAATCAATTGGAATGTGGCTTCCCTGACCGTGAATGTGAACATCTTCAGGTATCGGTATGTCATTTAGACTGGCAAATTCATTTGAAAATTGACTTTGCGGCGTACTAGGCAATTCTCCATGATGTGGCAATGGCTCACATCCTGTATCGAACAAACTCTTAACAAATGAACGTTGATCCATTTCTGTGATTGTTTATGATGAAATCTTGACTAGATGAATATAAATGTAGTGAGATTGTGAGAATTGAGAATTGGATGAATTGAAATTGTAACTAATAAACTGGAAAAATTGAATTGATATTGTATATTTTGTAGCACAAGAGAGTAAAAACTCGATAATTGATATAATAAAAGATAGTTGAGACTTGAGAGAGTTGTAATCTTGGAAGAGATTGATATGAAAAAAAAATTTTGGGGGAAGGGGGTATTTATAGTAAAAAAATGGGGAAAAAAAAAAGAAAAAAAAAGTTCTGTGACCGTTCAGTGACCGTTCTGATCACTGAACAAAAGTTCAGTAACCAGAACTGCCACTGAAGATAGGCTCGTCTACACGGTGAGCCGAACGGGCGAGGCCCGCTTGGCTTGTGCTCGGGCTCGTGATTTCACGAGCCCGAGCCGCCCACGAGCCCATTTTTCACGCCGGCTCGGTCCAATTTACATCCCTACCTGGAAATAAATAAATTCTAACCCTTTCCACATCAAGCAGCGATAGAGAGAGGGATACTTTTAAAATTGACTTAGTCAAATCACCTAAAGTCTAGATTGACTTCTCAATAAAGGGATATTATGAAAATAGCATATCCAATATTAAAAGACAAAAATACACTTAAATACATTATACAATTACAAAAGTTGATTTTTTTTAAAAGACATCAATACCCTTTTACTTAACAAATAAAAACCAAACACTTTCTATTTTTCTTATCTATTTACTTTAACACGGATAAATAAAACATTCTCATCCTTTATCTGCTTTAACCGTAAAAACTAAAAAATTTATCAAATCGGAAGTCGAAAAATTTGTGGACATCAATCTCGTCAGTTCGATAAGTTTATATACGCAAATTTAATATTGTTTTCGTTAAATTATTGTAAGTTTAAATCGATAAATTGTATTTCGACATTTATGGTAATATAGATAAAAAAAAGAAATTAATAGATCCGTAATTTTTTAAGATCTAATTTTTTAAGCATTTGACCAAAAAAATTCATCTGCATATATTGCTGGACGAGTATTGAGTCTTAGCAGCTCGGCATGCACAGGTGATTCGGCTGTTTGACCGGTTGTTAAACCTAAACAGCCGGCTGTTTGTCAACTATTTTTCTTTTTCTTTTTTTTTTTCCATTTTATAGGTTATTTTTATTGCTCTTGATATTTTTCTTGTAATTAAAAACTCTGTTTCGACATGCAGATATAGTAGTAGTCCCAGTTTGTTACTTTAGTGATTTCGAATTTGAAGAAAGAGATCAATGGGTATGGAAATGGACAAGTGCTAGACGTGGTGGTATTGCAATTTCCATATCATCAGGTACATCGTATGCAGAACTCTATAATGATTTACAGAACAAGTTGAATGTTGATCCTTCTCAGTACAACATCGAATTGAAATTTAAATTCAGTGAGCATGCATCAGTTTCGATTCCACCTATAATGATTTCTTCTGCTGATGAAGTGAATTATCTGATTGAATTAAACAATAAGCACACGACTCCTCTTTGTGTGATTTTAGTAAGAAAGGATGTCGTCGAAGATGAACAAATAGACTTGGGAGATGGGGATCACAATGCTAATGATTTTTGATATACGATAGAGATAGCTCGTGAAAATGATGTGGTTACTCTAGAGACAGTTGCACACAGAATCCCCTCTGCAGCTCGTGACGACGAGAATGAAAATGCAAATACATTTACAAACGAAGAGTTGATTGCTTTATCTCGGCAGAGGCATGAGTGGGGTGGGACCTCAGGGGCTAGATTGAGTGGACCGTCTTCTAACTTCTCACGTGTGGTTCCCGATAATGAGAATTTGTATGTCAAGCAACTGTTTGAAACGAAGAAAGATTTGCAAGAAGCCGTGCACCTAATTGCACTGAAATACAACTTTGAGTTTAGAGTGAAAAAATCAAATAGGTCGTTATTGACGCTATCATGCGTAGATGACAGTTGCAGTTGGCGTTTATGAGCAACGAAGATGGACACGAATGAGTGCTTTGTAATTCACAAATATACACGGGAACATACTTGTGAAGTGGGAGTTTGTCGCAATGATCACAGGCAAGCTCGATCTTGGTTTATTGGTCGACAGATAATGTACAAGTATCAGGATCCACGGACAATCTACAGAGTATCGGACATCATTAATGATGTTCATCGAAAGTATAGAGTAGTCATGAACCACTAAAAGGCCTGGAAGGCCAAATAATGCGTGTTGGAGGATTTAATGGACTCGACAGAAGAAAGTTATGCTAAATTGGCCAGGTATTGCCATAACATGAAGAAAACTAATCCTGGCTCGGCATTTTTTATTGAGACGGAGGCCGAGAACTGCTTCAAATTCTTCTTTATGTCTCTTGGACAATGCATTCGGGGATTTCGAAATACTATGCAACCCTTAATTCTAGTCGACGGTACAACTCTGAAATCCAAATACCAAGACAAGTTGATTATTGCTACATGTCAAGATGCCAACATCCAAATCTACCATATTGCATTCGGCATAATTAATAATGAGAATGATCTGTCGATGCGTTGGTTCTTTACAAAGCTCAAGGAAGTAATCGGAGAAGTCGAGGACCTTGCATTTGTAACCGATCGGGGACAGTCTATAATAAATGGTATCGCTGAAGTTTTTTCCAATGCACATCATAGGTATTGCATGTACCATATACAAGGCAACTTGAAGACTAGGTATCGAGGCAAAGGCATCGTTTCACTGTTTAGGAGAGTGGCTGAAACTTACAGTATTGAAGAGTGTAATAGGTACATGGTTGAAATAGGAAGCAAATCATTCGAGGCATGTGACTATCTAACGAAAATTGGGATTGAATATTGGGCTCATATTTTTCAGGATGTCGATACAATATGATGACGTCAAACAACGCGAAATCTCTCAATGCATTATTCAAGAGGTATCGAAAGTTACCCATTCTTGCACTGATTGAAAATATCTGTAGGAAGCTGCACTAGTGGTTTCACGATCGACGTACGGAGTCACATAATTGCACAAGCGTGCTAGCCGCAGCGCAAGAGGTAAAGCTCTTTAAGGCTGCAGAGATTGGGAGAAAGTTAAATGCCGAACCACTAAACGAGTCGCGCTTCTCTGTGGAATATGCACGTCATACGACATACATGGTAGATTTCACTGATGAAACAGGTACTTGTAAACAATTTCAGTTAGAGAGTTTTTCATGTGAGTATGCAGTTGCAGTGGCTATGTATCGAGGACTTGCAGCGAGGACATTTTGCTCTCCTTATTACACTGCTAAAAAATGGAGAGTTGCGTATGTTGAAACCATATTTTCACTTCCAAACGAAGTCGAGTGGGAAGTTTCCAATCATATTCGCCCATTCAATACATTGTCACCACCTCTCATTGAATCACGTGGTCCTGGACGTCCAAGTACTTCTAGAATACCATCTACTGGAGAGTTTTCCTGACCACGAAGGTGTAGCAGGTGCAAATCAATAGGACATACTCTCCAATTTTGTACAAGTCAAGTTCCCCTAAATGACAGTTAGAGCATTGTGTATTGTTGTCGATCTGAAATAAACAGTATTTACATCTGGATAATCAACATTCAAATTTTAGCTCGTATTTACGTTTAAATAAACAGTATTTACATCGGCATAATCAATATTCAGATTTCAGCTAGTATTTACATTGAAATGAATAGTATTTACATGAATAATTAAAAACAATTGTGAAAAATAGTTATAAATAATTACAAATATTAATTACAAAAAATATTTACAAATAATTTATGGATCAAAATTAAATTCGTATAAATCACACGCTAACTTATTTCGCCAATTCGGTATTTATGACTGGTTGATTCCATCAACTTTATGTGCTATACTAAATTCTATGTATTTGATTGCGAAAATCCCACAATCACCTCTGCAAATGAACAAATATGTGTTACTTCGGTTCCAATTACGTAAGAACTGATTACTAAATTTTAAAAAATAAAGATTAAAAAGACTTACGATATAGACTGTCTAGTCGTCGTCGTGTCCTACACGATGGTTAGTTTGTCCTCCATAGTGAAGCCCGCATGTCTAGCCATCAGAGGAACGATCACAGTCACCGGCTCTAAGTTCTGCTCGAGCTACCCCTGTGTCAGATATGAATGATCGGGGTCGTACACATATATCGTCGAATCAGGGAACATGATCTCCAGTGCAATGCCGTGCTGATTCACAATCACTAGAATGTACAAATGCGTACAACCCTCCCATGGCTTTCCCCTAACACTCGGTGATAGCCCGATGACCCACTCGATCATATATGCAGGACATACTTGTTACCTAGAAGTTGGAGCGATGATGCGAACCTGAATAGCAACGAACACTATTGAACCCACACGAGAGTAACACCAATCCCAAGAATGCCAATTTGATTCGAAGTTTACGGATTTAATTCCTAAACGATGAATTAGGCAACCAACAATATATTAAATCGAATACCTCCTAATTACACAATTTAAGAACCTCAACCAAGGTTTTGAACGCCACAAGAAATCCCAACCGGATCCCTTGATAAGTTCAAAGTCCCGAAGAACAAAGGTTTGGAAGTAAATCGCCTCTCTAAATTAATTTTCAAATCGAAATCTGTTCAATAATGAAAGATAGAAAATAATTTATACTACCCTAGGAAACAAGGAAACCACGAAACAAAGAATGTACAAGAACATTGCACAAACTTCTACAAAATGACTATCAAATCGGCATTCCCCGTTCATTCATGCTCCATTTTATCAATTAATGAAAAAATTGTGTAAAGACAGATTAAATTACAGCCTATTCAAAAAAGGAAAAAATTGTTCATATTAATAATCCTCACTTCAAATTTTGAATGCCTAAGTACGGCTGAATCTATCTTCAAAAGTTGTGGGGTCAAATTTATGCCAAAAAATTAGCTTCAAAAGAGTAAATAATAAGTAAAAATATTAAATTTGTAGAACTCGGCAATTCATGGCCTCCAAATAAATAAATGACAGTCCTAGATCTTTATATGTACAATGACATGAAGATTTTAATCTGACACTTGATATTTACAATGACATTAAAAACTGAACTTTGAAGTCTTAATTATCCATGAATCTAATTATGCATAGAGGTAAACATTAGGATGAAAAGTTTAATTAAGCTCAAGAATGACATTTTTCGTATCGTTGCGGTCATTGTACAAGTAGTCATTGTTAGCACTTTAGAGTGTATATATTTTGGAATACAAAAAAGATATCAAAATATTTAAAGCAACCTTACTATGTCCAAAACATTAATAGATTATTTAGTTTAGTGCTAAGTAAGACGAAGGGCAAAGATCATCCTTATGGTTATTGAGCAAAGATGAAGAAGGGTACATATTTGTGCCCATCCTGAGTCATCTTCCTGTTTCCTTAGCAATTGTCAATTGAGAACCTGCAAAGATTTACAACAATGAATTACTAACATAGTTGAGAGACAAGGCATTCATGCTAATATTCTTTAAAGAAAATGACAGCACACTACAGTATGTAGCAAATTCGCTTTCTGCCCAAAAACCTCTGATAGCAGCCTTCTTTGTTCTTTTGAACAGCTTGCTTAGAAGACTTGTTTGAGATGTTAAAATGTAAATTTTTCCCAACTTTAAAAGACTGGGTATAAAAAACTACATCAAGTTCACCACCTGGAAATGAATTAATAAATAAAGAATAAAATATGAAACTTATGATGCATTATAAATGACAAAGAATGTACAATAACATTGCACAAACTTCTACAAAATGACTATCAATTTGGCATTCCCTTTCCTTCATGCTCCAATTTATCAATTAATGAAAAAATTGTGTAAAGACATATTAAAGTACAGCCTATTCAAAAAGGGAAAAAATTGTTCATATTAATACACTTCAAATTTTGAAGGCCTAAGTACGGCTGAATTTATCTTCAAAAGTTGTGGGGTCAAATTAATTGCCAAAAAAATAGCTTCAAAAGAGTAAATAATAAGTAAAAATATTAAATTTGTTGAATTCAGCAATTCATGGTCTCCAAATAAATAAATGACAGTCCTAGATCTTTATGTGTACAATGACATGAAGATTTTAATCTGACACTTGATATTTACAATGACATCAAAAACTGAACTTTGAAGTCTTAATTATCCATGAATCTAATTCTGCATGATGGAGGTAAACATTAGGATGAAAAGTTTAATTAAGCTCTAGAATGACATCTTGCGTATCGTTGTGATCATTATACAAGTAGTCATTGTTAGCACTTTAGAGTATATATATTTTGGAATACAAAAAAGATATCAAAATATTTAAAGCAACCTTACTATGTCCAAAACATTAATAAATTATTTAGTTTTGTGCTAAGTAAAACGAAGGGCAAAGATCATCCTTATGGTTATTGAGCAAAGATGAAGAACGGTGCATATTTGTGCCCATCCCAAGTCATATTCCTGTTTCCTTAGCAACTGTCAATGGAGCACCTACAAAGATTCACAATAATGAATCACTAACATAGTTGAAAGACAAGGCATTCATGCTAATATTCTTTGAAGAAAAGGACGACACGCTAAGTATGTAGCAAATTTGTTTTCTGCCCAATTTTAATAATTTACTACTTGTGATTTACACATGCGCAATGAATCTTCCATAACATGTTCACATATAAAGTGCAATTTATACTTTCAAAACCTCTCCCAAACAACATCGTACTTAAATAAAATAATTTTTGATCTCCAAAAACTACTTTTAGACTTTGAGAAATGCACTTCCAAAAACAGTCTAAATATAAGGCACCTTTTAACTAAACATAATGATGGAATAGCAACAAAAGGAGAAATGATCAAAAGGAGAAACATAGCAACAATTTACACAAATGATTAAATATAAACATTACATAAAATTTTCGAAAAATGAAGGGGGAACAAAACGAAAAAACTACAATTTGCTCAATGCATTTTACCAGAAGGATCTATGTATGTTAGAGATATACTTTTTGTCTGTTGGATTGAATGGGTGGAAGTGAGCTTCCCAGAATATGCCTTGCAAAAAACAATTGAATGAAAAGCAAATTAATCAGTAATTATAAAGTTGAATGAAAATATTTACCAGCTTCCAAAATTAATGTGTAAAAGCAAAAGAATTCTAATAAATGAAATTATCATATTATTAGCTGAAGATGATTTCCTAAATACCCAAAAATTAAACTGGAGAAGAAAGCAAAAAGTTTTAATTTTTATTTTTGTGTCAAGAATTGACTGCCAGTAAACAATAACTATCCAAAAAAAAATTGACCAAATACAGATCTAAAGTCGGAACATCAGTTTTAATTTTATTTTTGTGTCAAGAATTGACTGCCAATAAACAATAACTATCCCGACATAAAAATAATCGACCAAATACAGATCTAAAGTTGGAACATCAGTTTTAGTTTTATTTTTACGTCAATAATTGACTGCTAGTAAACAATAACTATCCCAACAAAAAAAATAATCGACCAAATACAGACCTAAAGTCGGCAGATCTAAAGTCTGAACATCATCGAACGAGCCAAATTAAACCCGGAGAACAAGTTAAAAGGAAAAACTATCGATTAACTAAAATTAGATTAAAAGGAAGATTGCTAGCTTAGAATAAAGTAGCAGGCATCAGATCTTCATATTCAAATGTTAATCATCATAACTTGGATGTCATGTGGCCTCTCTTCCTTAGAAGTGTCTGCTGCAAGAAAATGTGTACGGACTGCTCCTTTGAACCTTTGCCCAAGAGGAAAAAAGTTAAATGGTCGCTTGAGGATTTCGATTTCACATTTAAAACTGAGATTTTGAGTAGAGATTGGTTAGGGTTTTCAATATTTTGCGAGAAGGGCAATTCTCTCTAATAGTTTTTAAAATAATCAAAAATGGAAAATTTATATTTAAACCCATATGATTTCCATTCTTTAAAATAAAGAAAAATGGAAAAATGAGAACCCTACGTGCGGTTCTATTTAACATTTTTTAAAATAAAGGAAAATGGAAAATTTCAATTTTATTTAATCAAAAATGGCAAATTACAATTATAAAACCACCGTTTGATTTCCATTCTTTGGTCACAAAAATGAAAAATATAATCGCTATGCCATCAAAAAACACAGAATTTTATATTTTAAAAATACAAAAAAATGGAAATCTGCTATTTTTCAATTGAAAGAAAATGAAAAGGAATGATCATATTCAGTTCCGTGACTATCTAAATAAACAATTCTTATTTTCATGACCGCAAATTGAAAAAGAGTTAAATGTTAAAATTTTAATAAATAAATTAAAATTATTAGCTCCGTTATTGGAAATAAATTATTAGAAATTTATCGGGGGAAAATATGTTTAATTAAAATGGAAAATAGAGAACCTAGGTTTGATTTCCATACTTATTTTTCAATTTTATTTCATCAAAAAATGGAAA